AGAGGTCGTGGGTTCGACTTTCACCCAGGACAGATTAGCATGATCGTTTATTCTGTGTCTGGATGTCATTTATCTACAATATGTATGATGAAATATTTAAATAAGTTTATCAGCAGCCTGGTTACCATAGTACTGACTCTGTCTAGTTTGGCATCAGACGGCTGTGTGCGATGTGTGTTAATATTAATAGTCAGTTGGTTCATCAAACCACACTAACTTTAATATGCCCGTATATAAATAATTCTACCAGTTAGTATCTTTGACAAACAGAGCAGGAAATGCTTTCAAATATTAATGAAATAAAGTAATTTGTACTATAGCAGAATTAACAAAGGGATTCCTGTGCCTGAAGGCAATAGGCTAGTTGACTCAATTTGAAAAATTGGTTAATTATATACTTTAATATCTATTTTATTCCAAAAACCAATATTTCAAAGAAAAAAATATTATAAAAAATATTTACATTACGTATTTTGTATTAAAAAAAAAATCCCTTGAAAACGCTCAATAGTGTCATGGCGTCTTGAATAACGTCATAGTCTGCGAAACAAAACTGTTTACATTTGTGTCCAGTATCAACTGAAACTGTATTAAGGTGAGAAAATATTCTAAAAACAATAAGGAGTAACCTGCTCTGCTGTATGAAAACGTCAACAACAACAATGATGTTTTGCGTGGCTTGACGTAACACTTTCTGATTGGTGTTCGCTGTCACGTGACTTAATGCCTATTTTGATCGAATTCATTTTTTTTAAAGATTTTCTTTAACTTGTATGAGAAATAGACTGGTTTTTTCTTATCTATGTCTCTTCATTTATAATTTGAAACTATAAACCAAGCAATTTGTTATTAGTGGACACAAGCCTATTGTGGTATTATGAAAACTTTGTTTCACTAGGCTATAATACACTTCAAAAACATGGCCTTGCTAAACCTTCAAATCTCTTTTATTTATTAAACTAATGCATATATTGGTCATTAGGCAATAGCAATCGGTGAACTTTCACCCTTGTCAAGTTACACCCAAAAAGTACGCCGTGTCTATTTCTTACGTGTTCATATATTTTTAATTTAGATAATTTTATGCAGTTTTGGTAATTTTTGTAAAGTTTTATATTTCGTTGCGTTAGTAGGTGCGATGGGTATACCAGCTAAATCCCTCTATAACCTTCTTAAAAACCTTGAATTGTCAAGAGCTTCAGTAAGCTCTTATCTTGAACGAACATCCAAAGCGGCATTGCCAGGCTCGTATCAAATATGGTTAGGTAGAGGGAGTAACAGCAGACAGTGCAGGTAAGCGCTGACGCGTCGCAAAAAGTACTCCCTAAACCTACTCCTGGGTCGCAATTCCCAGGCGATGTCGCAGTCGCATGTGTTGGCCCCATCGCGATGGACCCGGCACTCAGATGGAGTGGTAGGCGCACCTAGGTTAAATTACTAAAATATATATATATATATATATACATATATATTAGTTGCTACTACTACCGCACTACATACATATATACACATACATATATATTTACATTATATTCGTACACGATGAACATAAGGAAATGGAGTGATGTACTATTGTTTCTGTAGCTGAAAAACCTGTATGTAAAATTGGGTTTCCAAAATTTGAAGTGAAATTTGGAACGAATTTCGATAAGCTTTAAGTTCACACCTAACCTCCCTCCGACTCAATTAATTTTAGTTCAACGGCAATATAAACCACGAACATTAATAGAAGCAGATATATATTATTAGAGAAAGAGATCTTCGAGACTAGCGTATATTATCTCCTTTTTTATTCTTAATATTTATTAATATCATCACACAACATCATCAGTAACCTATATACTGATGATCTGCAGCTGTATTCACAGGCAAGGGTGGAGGACGTAGCGCAGGCCTTAACAAGGACCTACAATCCATAAATTCCTGGTCGATGAGGTTCAGTCATACCTTTTAGCCCCGAAAGGACCTAGGTCTACTCATTCACTCAACTCTTGATTGGCGAGCTCAAGTTACTTGTGTGAGTCAGAAAGTAACTGGAAACCTGCGAACACCATATCGTCTTAAGAATTGCCTGCCTCCTAATACCAAAACTACTCTCATTCAGTCCTTAATAATTCCTTTAATCGACTATAGTGATGTATTTTATTTCGACCTGAATACATCCCTCTTAAGTAAGCTTGATCGCCTTCTTAATAACTGCATTCGATACATTTTCAACCTTCGCAAGTATGACCACGTGTCTGCTTTACGTTCCCAACTGAATTGGTTACCCATTCACCTGAACTGCAATCAGCGAGCTCTGACCTCTTTATTTTCATCTCCCTATCCTCACCTACTTACCTAGCTCTACTTCTCTTTCTTGTCGTCTAATCACTTCAGAAATCTTCGTTCTGCAAATAATTTGCTTCTCTCATGTCCCTCCTACAATTCCAACTTCATGAACTCTTCGTTTAAGCACTTCTATTCTGGAATGCGCGCCCGCTTAAAATTAGGATGTCCACCAACCGTTCCATATTTAAATAGAAGGTGCATGGCCTCCTTTTGAATGAGATGGCGGAATCATAAATAGCAACACTCGTTATAATTACATAATTTACTGCTGAGATAACTTACAAGTACTTCTGAAAAATGTGTGAATCATCGTCGTCATCGTCTTCTTTAAAAATATCTATAAATTTTTTAGTTCTCAGAAGTAAGATTTAGTCAAAGTAGACAGTCGTGCTAATTGTCTGATTCAATACAATTAGACACCATGAAGAAGAATAGACAAGAATATGCCAACTCCTTATCTAACTTATTATTATATGGTAGAACAAGACACTACAACTGTATCAACATCTTACGCTATTTATTACTTCCCAGTAAAACTATTACCGTAATAACATACGGTTTGAATTAACAGTAAACGTTGTAAATTGAATACCTAGTAAAAACTAGATTTGTCTTAACAAAACCTTGATTTTATACATTAAAAACAATATAAAATCCAAATCCTCTTTTTTGCAAACAATTTATCTCGGCCATGTTTCGTTTTATGAAATGACTAGGACACTTGGCCCAATTGAGGTCTTAAGTCTTCCGTAAATAAATTCCTTGACCCCTCCATTCAACAAATATGTAGGATCTTGTTGTAACTCATATGTTATCTCAGACAGAAAACTATATTTTATCTCGTCCTTCATATATTACGATTACGTATCGTATTTTATAAGTATCATCTGAAGATCAGCTCATGAATAAGCTCTTTGGAAAAAAGACATGAAGTTTTATACAAAATATATATATATTTAAAACTTATAAAGTTCTAAAAAATCTTCTACAAATACTGCTTTTAGATAGGTTCTATTAATAACGCTTCAAATCATTGTAAAGTTAAAAATACGCTGAGAATGCTAGTCCGAATTCAGTTGCATGATTTTGGAGGTACAGAGAATATCGCTAAATTATCAGCTTTTACTTTAAGGTAATGTTGTGTTTTGTTTTGTTCATCCCGTGGGTGTCATAAAAGACGACTAAGGGAGCAAACTGCGCAGGACAACAAGCACTGCAAAGAGAAAGAAATCTTGAAACAAACCCTATTCCAACCCGTCTGCCCAGCGTGGTATAGTAGGCCAAAACTTCCTTTCTAAGGAGAGGCCTATGTCCAACAGTGGGTAGTTAAAGTCTGTTGATGATGATAATAATGTTTTGTTCACAATGTGAAAGAGAGTAGACAGAGCGAGGAGGTTTAATTATAAGAGAGGTTTTAGTGAGTGATCGAAGCCAGTACCTTCAGTCTTTTCATTAACAAAGCAGATGATCAAAATAATTAAACCAAAAAAGTTCACGAGCGATTTCCAATGTAAACCATAGTTATGTACAGAGTATAGGAAACTCGTTGTAATTTGGTATATAACTTTTAAAACAAACGACTTTGAACTTAAAACCTTAATAAATAAGATACTAATAAATATAGTCTATCCAGAATAGGATTTAAAATGTAAGCGGGAAATTAAAATATAAGTAGAGCGAGTAGCGCTACAATTTATACCCTTTTCAGATTACATGTCATAGTGATTTATTTACACACTAGCTTTTTCCCGCGGCTCTACCCACATGTATGTCGGTTATCGCGGTAAAAAGTAGGCTACGTCCTTCTTCAAAAATCAAACTATCCCCCATACCAAATTTCATCTAAATCGGTTAAGCGGTTATTGATTTCCTATACAAACTCCTACAATCCTTTTCACCCCCTTAAAGTGCGATTTCTGGAATAAAAACTATCCTTTGTTTTTTCACGGGACTCGAACTACGTCGGTACCAAATTTGATCTAAATCAGTTCAGCACTTTAAGCTTGAAGAGGTAACAGACAGACAGACAGACACACTTTTGCATTTAATATTAGTATGGATTTCATAGCAAGTTTATAGCAATACCTTTCTGAGAAAGTATTACAACTAAGTTATAAAAAAAATCGAGAATTTGGCTGCTCAAGAGGACCCATGTTGAAAACATAATCTATATTAATATTACAAATCTGTCTATCCGTCTGATAAATTTTGACGCCTAAACTACCGAACCAATTTCGATAAATTGTGGTAAGTATAGAGATAGACGGGACGTTGAAGAAGAACATTTTTAGGTTTTGTGATGAATTATTAAACACATTGCAGATGAAGTATTTTTGCAGTTTCGATAATTAAATATTTTTTTAAGTACTTGAGAGGGTCCTTTGACAATAATTAGTTTATTTTTAGTTAGTTAGTTTTTATTTTATCTAACTTACTTATAACAACAGAACTAAAAAAGGATGGTTCATGGCTTTTACTTGTAACTACTGTACAAATATATAGAAGAAATAAAACATATATCACGCTCATTAAATTATTACTAGTGGCTTAAGTTTTAAACACAAATTAAAACATTGATCTGAGTATAATCTTTCAATGAATGGCTCTGTTACCGGGAACCAACCCACTTAGACACCGTCTGGTCTCTTATTAAGTAAAAAAGCACTTACCGACATCATCGTTGTCAAGATCGGACACATCGTGAGCAACCTCGTCCTCTTCAGGGGCACTTTCATAACGCTCCTTTAACACCGTACGTGGCACTGTGAAAGAAAATATACTTTAAGTGTATGAAAATAAAATCTATTTTAACTCGTCACAATTTTCTGTACAATTTAATAAGGGGATGTTAATTTTAGACGTTTAGGGTGCTTTATATTAGAAAGTATTTTTATTTTTTCAAGTGCGGCAGACGCTTTACGTGGCGTCGAACAAGCAGTTTTGGTTGAACGTAATCTGTTATCTGTATCTGTTTTATTTTTTACTAAATTCTTGCTATTTCACTGTCTGAGGATTTTATTTTTAACTATATTTTATGTTTACGAATACGACGTAAGACTAAGTTCTGTATAAATTAATGTTGGTTTTCTAATAACTAAAAGCTAAATGTTATAAGCATGTTTTTTAAAATATAATTATATTCCTCTGTCGACTAGAAATGTACATATTTTTCACTGATTTGGTGTGTTATTATCTCTTCCAAGAGGGTTATGCTACTCCAATCTTTAAAAATTAACATGCAAATTAATCAAACTGGAAAATTCAATCTTCAAAGAAACGTCGTGCCTCGGATCTTAAGGACGGCGTCAAATATTAATTATTCCAAGTCAGTCTTTTGTTTAACATCCAGTTTTTGACGTAAACACAATGTAAAAGGATTCAAGAATTTTAGTGTCTTATTTGTTTTTATGGTTATTGATGTTAATAATTAATTTAATTGCAAACAACGTTTTAGTGTGCTGTTTGATCGTGTACTATGTCTTGTTCTGCTTAAAGTTAGAAAGTAAGACACAAAATTATACTTTTTCTGTTTTCTTTTCGTCCTTTCAATAAATTTTATATACAGAATAGTGTGGGTTGAAAGTCTTTGATGCCCATTTTATGCGAGAATATTGTAAACAGTATATTTTCAACAAAAAAAACCTCTTTGGCACAGGCAGGCAGGTTTATTTTCCTCTTAGGGTAAATATCATATCCATAAAAAGATGTAAAATGAGGTATCTATCAAGTATCTTCAAAGTTTGTGTCTGGGAATATTATTATTACTGTTTCTAATTAAAGTTTTAAGTTCAAGAATCTTTAGATGGATTGTAGATGATGATTCTAGCGTCCATTATAATTATAATAATAAAGCCTTGTTTATTCCTTAATAAAACTTACATGTTTTGGTATTACATTTCGAGAAATTAAAATAAAAACATTTAAGATTAAAAAATAAATAAAATTTAAGATTAAAATAAATAAGAATTTAAAAAGATCAATAATAAAATAGCCAACTCGAATTAAAATTAATAAAATACAAAAAAAAACTTTTCCTTTTTTACATGCAAATCAATTTTTTTTTTATTATTAAGGACCTCTCTAAAGGCCTCCTCCAATTTTTTTCTTTTCCAATTTTTTTCCAATTATTTTTTTTTTTTTTTTCCAATTTTCTCCACTTATCTCTATCTATTGCTACTTCCATCCAGTTATTTCCCACTGTTTTGAGTCCTCTTTTTCTCTTTCCTGGTGGCCCTTTCCAAGTGGTTATCTTTTTTGTCCATCTATCATTTTTCATACGCGTCCATTATATTAATTTTAATAAACTCATACGCCTGTTCTATTATTCGAGACTGATTAAACTTTAGATTAGATTGTATTAAACTATTAATTATAAATTTATCACTACTAGGTCAGGTGACGAGTCATAAATAACACAAAGCTCTTTGAGAAAAATACAATCACAAATTTGATCACGTATATATCGTCGTAAACTCGCCTGCTTATCGGTTTTCTAAGGATTAGCTTTTTGTTAAGAGTGCAAAAGTGCTCCTCGAATAGTTGTATCTTCACTACCAGACTACCAGAAGCAGGCAAAGGTTTCATTCGTTCTAGTGGAATTCGAAAAGCGCTGCTTTAGTGGTGTACGGTACGGTAATGCTCCAGAAAGAGACCGCTGAACGGGATCGAGAGAGGGCCGATCCCGAACGTATAGGACGACGGCGGCGTTATCAGCCGTCGACGGGTCCTCAGGCTGCCAGAGAGTTCTGACCTCTGCTGGCAGATTAATTGCTGCGGTAGGCGATAGGATAGCATTTTGCGATCGGACCATAACACACATTGATTAGGCCGATAGGCGTAGGGAAGCCTGCTTTCCCCGGGATAGGGCTTGGCTAGGCGCTTCGATCCGGGGTGGGGGGATATAACATGGTCCGGGTCCTCCCCAGAGAAGGGCGCTTGAGACCGGCAGTGAAAACACCACATACTCTGGCTACTATAACTATATCGAAATTCAGTAGTGCAGTTCAATTTATTTAATGCTAATCTAATTTGATTCGAATCCTCCGTTTCAGCAATTAATTAATAAAACCTCATTGAAAAACCTATTCTCAAAAGACTTTAGGTTAATATTATTTATTGTTAATTTTCGGTCTTAAATTTAATTTAAATAACACACAAACGACAGAATGAATTTGTTAATGGAATGTCTAAACTTTGTAACGTACAAAAGGACTGTGAAACGGAATGTAAATTAACATTCTTCAATTGAATAAATAATAAACATGGCGCCTGAAATCAATATAAATATTTTGCCTGAAAGAGATTAACGAACGGAACTGTACAAAATTGCTCGTACGCGCTGTATGTAAGGAGCGTCGTAATACTTGTTTACTATTACGAGTAGGTACAGGCCTTAAGTCTAATACATGATGCTACGGATTTGTTGGGTCCGAAAAATTTACGGAATTTATGTGAATTTGAATGAAAGAATATATTTAGATTGTCTGTTTCAAATCAACTATTCTCTGTATTTTATACACGCACATGTGTTTAAACAAAGATGGGATAATGAAATAGGATTTATTTAAACCTGGTTTGTAAATTAAAATAGAAATGAGTAGATTTAAATCGTAAAATATATGTCTATTTTTATCTCAACTATTCCGTTCAATTACAAAAATAAAAGTAAACCAATCAGCAGGAGCGTAAATTTTACTGCAATGACTAGTAATCAAACACTTAACTATGTCATTAGAGTACCTAACATCACACGTAAATTATTGACTTTTACTATTTCCCACCAAAAACTTTTAATACTTTTAGATAGAAACGGAGCGAGCTCACAAAATTTTCAAATAGTATAGCACTTCCTTAAAACCTCTATACTTAATTAAAAATATATATTTTGCTGGTCATGTTAGTGTAAAGGGTAATCTCATCAGGTTACAGCGTTCAGACTCCTCTTTACCTTAAATGAAACTATTTTATGAAGAGAAACCTCATCATCTAGAGAGGATTACAGATTCCAAAATGAAATAATTTTTTATCTCAACTACTCTGCTGCCTGTACTCAATTTGGCAAACTGTTTGTCTCGTACCCAAGTTATTTTGTATTATCAACGGTCTGATTAACAAACTGAATTGAGATGAAAATAGATAATATTGGTACTTATGGATGCAAATTATTTCAGCTTCCTACACAATATAATTAAGGTAAGGAATTTTTTTATAAAGTTATTTTGTATTTCGACTTTCATTTTAGGGTTTTATATCAACATTCATTCTTTTACGATTATATACAATGTTTAAGAAAAATGAATGTATAAATGAAGGTCAAATTACATAAATCTAGACTATTATTGCATTTTTATATCAAAGTAACAAAACCATAAAAATTACCGATTTCTATCATCGAATTCAACTTAGTTAGTCAAAGTCCCAAAACATCCAACCCTTTTCGCCCTCAATAATTGAATGAATAGCTCAGGCACACAATTGATTCCTTTGTCGATTAACAGTCTTACCGATGATTATATGTGGATATTAATGAGAATGCGATCGAGTCAACTGTCCCGAATAATCGCTGTACCTCATTGAGGAACAGGATAAAAGAGTCGGCAAAATAGTGACGTTTATATATTCCTAATGAACTTTCTATCCGCAGTTTCATGATTTTATATTAAAATCTTACTTTGAAACATAAAAATTAAAATCTAACTAAGAGATTAATACCAGCCATTATTAAGAAGAAAACTATAAAATAAGGAAAAAATATCGTTCGGGATATTTGAGTATCCGTTATCATAATATACTAATTTTTTTTTTTTCTGACATCTAACATACAACGCCATCTAGTTTTAAACTAAGCAGAGCATGTACTATGAAAGCTAGATCGACTGAGAGAATACTTAAATACTTTTTTGTAAATAATTATTAATTATAAAAAATGTTAGATATTCCTTGGCTTTAAAACTCCATTTTAATAAAATTGATTTGTCAATTTTGCTAAATTGAATTAAATTTTGAACCGGCCTGGATGCCGTCATGTAAAGACATGATACCTTTATATTATACCTTACACGATGGCAGTACAACGTAACAATGAAATGTATTGCTATAGAGAACTATATACATGTATTCATGTAATTCTGCCACTGACGTCATCGTCAGTACAATTTCATCTGTTAATTATATAAATGATTGGCCATTTAGAGTGTAAACCGACATCATTTGTTATTGTACCAGATTGCGTGATGAACACCTAAACACAACCACATTTGAAACATTTATTATTGAAAACCGTTCATTATGTTAATAAAATTAGATTAAAACTACCATTAAGCCTTAGACAACACGAGTAAAGTCGTAATAAAACCTAGTAATTTCACTAGGAAGGTTCCCTTGAGAATTTTCAATTCAATAAAGAAAGTCTACTAAAAGCACAGGTCACTTTATAGATGTGGGAGCGACGACAAAAGAATCACCACCTTTATTAGCTCGACATTGGACGTCCATTCTTTAAAATTTAATATTCTAATATATTGGTCCAACTGTAAATGGCGGCAAATTTATGTTGAAATAAATCCTATGAACAACTGCGGTTCCCCTTAGAAAATTGATATTGAGAAACTTTACTTTTTATAAAACATATTAAAGGGAAGAAGTAATGCAAATACTACTAGTAACAGCTTAAAAGATAAAGATAATTAGAATAAATGATATAATGGAAACTTTACAAAAGACATCTAATAACGTGAAAATGATTTTACAGTAATAACCATTA